CAAGCCAATGGATATAAGGCAGAATAGGGTATCAGTGCACCCCAAATCAGTATATTAACCATCAGCACACGAGGTTAGGGATAATAGATTGTAATATCTTGTGTTCCCTTTAATTAATAGGTGTTTAGAGAGATTGCCAATTACATCACTTACATTTGTACCACCCTCCAGTGCTAAGCATTGTGTAGGGGATTGGAATACATCCAAAGTCCCAGATGATGCCAGTTTAGCAAAGGTTCTTATTTATTCTATATTTTTCTTCTTTGACCTGTATGCATTGAGCTGCCTATGGGCCTGTGCAATGTAAGCATCCAAAAATAATTATCCAGCTCAAATAACTAAAAAACTGAAGCATATGCCTAGCTCGTTGAGTAACCTACAGAATCTGACAGAGGATCTAGTCATAGAAGCTATAACCCTCAGCTGCAAGATGTAGGTTAGACAAGACTTGAAGCAGAACTTGGATGAAAATAGAACTCATGGAACTTCTAATTTTAGTGTTACCCTACATTTTTGTGTTTTTGTATGGTTTAAAAAGTATTGCCAAATGTGACATAATTTATACATTTCCACAAGAAAAAAACTCATGCTACAAATCCATTCTTTTGGGACATTCGTCCTTTGTCTACAGATGTCAAACAAATGCATCTTTAAATAGCATTAGTGCCAGCATCCAAAACTATGCCCTGAAATCCCTAACTTCATGTGACATTAATTTGTTTTAAGGCACTGCAATGTCAGATCCCATTAGCATGGATCTGACATTGTACTGCCTTGAATAACTGTTGTACCCAGTGATGTGTAAAGAGTAGATTCTGTTTTCAATAGGTCATCTTTATATATCTCTAATATAAAACACCTCCATGCTCATGTATCCATTGATCCAAAGCTTTTAATGAAAATCCTTTTTTGCACAAATTTATTTTGTGAGTGCTATAGGGCCGGATTTCCAATTAGACAGAAAAGAAACCTGTCCACAGGCTCATGTCCTGTATGGGCACCTGCTTTCAGTTATTGTAATGTGCCTTTTTTGTGCTTAAGTGGATTTATAGCAAGAGAACAGCACCATGAGTCTTGACCAATGTCCTCTATAGTCTAGTCATCCTCCTATACTTGATAGTAGAGCTGCGAGAACACTTACGGAAGGTGTAAAACTCATTATTCTCTTTAGATTCTCCAGTGTCTGTGTGTGAGAAGCTCAACAAGGAGTGGAAGGGATCCCTTCCCATCTACCCACTAGCAGTCTTTCATATTGGAAATGCCTTGCAGAAGGAGCAGGCATAGTACTGAGTGATGCACACTGTTTAACATACCCTGCAGCTCTGTTATCTAGCACAGGAGGTTGACTTGACTACAGAAGACATAGGAGGGTGAGTACTTTTCAAATAACTCTTCAAACTCCACATATACTAAACTCCCTGTTCCCCTAAAGAATACAAGGAAAGAAAAAGGTCTCTGGGGAGTATCCAACTAATGAGGTCTTGACCCTAGTTTAAATACAAAACATGTTCCAAAGGAACGGAACCAAAATCGTTGGATAACCTTTCTGCTAAAATTAGAGCATCAAAACATTACAGTGAAAATCCCCAATTGACAACCTGAGACAATCTTGATAAATGAATGTGCATAAGAGACAGTACTGTCCCAAAACCTATGCCAGTATTAAGGGGAATCCTTTATTAAGTGCTAGGATAAATAGTAAAGGTATGTCTACTAAATGTCTAATTATAGGTTAAGCTTTATCTCCTAGTGCAGGGTTAACGAAACAGAGTATGTACCAGTAGCCACCTTTAGATTCCCCTAACCCTAAATTTAACCTCTCCCAAAACCTAAACAAACCCTTTAATTAGTTCCATATTTAAAGCCTAAACCTGAAAAAAAACTTTTACCTTAATCTTAGGTTTAAATATTTTTAGAAACTAAACATCCCATATACCCCAATAATAAATTCAATCCCACTACACCATAATCCCACACTAAACACCCTATATAATCTAACTCTGTTAATCCCTCCCTAACCTTAACACCCTCTTTACCCTGACCACTTCTAACATTATCTTTAATACTACATGCATTTACACAGCTGCATACACTTACTATACTCAACAATTCAAACATCATATGTTACAAACATAACTATGCATTACATGTGCAGTTGTCAAATATCAATATATATTTTTCAGAATGGAAGTCCAAGAAAAAAAAATCATTAAATGTCGTTTATCTGTCATTTTTTGGTGGGGGAGCAGTTTGACATAAACTCTGGCTCCCCCTGGCACCCAAGGCATGATCTTTCAGATAGTGAGTACATGTTCCAAGCATGATCTCTAAGATATTGAGTACATGTTCCAAGGCATGTTGTACTCTGATAGTGGTGAAAATGATATACCATATTTTCTATCCAATTCAAAATAGGTTACAAAGCTGACTCAAGAAATTACTTCAACTTGACATTTTGGCCTTTATTCACCAACTTAATAAGTGTAAACAATTTACAGGAGAACTGCAAGCATTAGGCTAATGTTTAACCCATCAAAGCCGTTTCATGCTGTCCTCCCCAGAGTGGGCTTTAACATTGTGAGGACTACATAGAACAGGGGTAGGCAACATTTTAGTAGTACTGTGCCATGGTAAGATCTTGAAGTACCTTGACGTGCCGGTCATAGTTTTTGAGGTGAGGTCACATGGCTGTTTAGGAGACACATGGAGGGGCGAGGGGTAAAGGAGACACATGGAGGGGATGTGGGGGTTAAGGAGACATATGTGTGATTAAGGAGACAAATGGAGGGGCTAAGAGGGTTAAGGAGTCATATGTGGGATTAAGGAGACAAATGGAGGGGCTAAGTGGTTTAAGGAGTCATACATTTAGGGGCTAAGACATTAATAAGACACATTTAGGGATGGGGTATTAAGGAAACACATGGAGGGGCAGGGGGTTAATGAGACTCATGAAGAGGCACACAAAGGGCTGGAGGGAGAGAGGCAAACAAAGGGCTGAGGGGAGGCACACAGTGGACTGAGGGGGCGGAGAGGTGCACAGAGGGCTGGGGGGACAAAAAGACACACACAGGGGCTGGGGGGAAATAGACACAGAGGGGCTGAAGAAGAGGAAAAGGAGACACACAACGGAGTTGGCAGAGAAAGAGATACACAAAGGGACTGGGAGAAGAGATAGTCACACAAAGTGTGTGTGTGTGTGTGTGTGTGTTTGTGTGTGTGTGTGCTGTTTGTATTATTTGTATGAGGGGGAAGTTTAATCTGCAGCTCTGTGTATATCTAGTAGCATGGGTTGCTTTCCTTGGGTCCAGTGAGGACCAGGTTAGCCACATACAGGACAAGGGCAGGAGCTGAGATAACTGCTGCAGACTGCAATACACTAATGAGGATTCCTGTTCACAAGTGCAGGGAGCTAAGTACTGCAATGTATACATTGAGAATCGTCCCTCACCTTGTACAATTACTGTTTGGGTTGCACTGGCAGAGATCTGAAGTCCCACTGGTACCCTGATAGACCAGAGCCTATTTGGCTCTGACAGCCTTCAGTGCCATGCAAAGTCACCTTGAGTGCCATGCATGGCACATGTGCCAAAGGTTGCTGACACCTGACATAGAACTTCCTAATGTTTTACACCTGGGGCTCCCCTCTGTCAGCTGAGGCCAACTTTACTGGCACCAGATGGACACATGGACTGTATGCAACAGAGACAGCATGCCAGTCAGTAGAATGAAAGTTCATACTTTCATGCTGCAAACGGCTACTGGACGGCAATCACAGATTGCTCTTGAAGTTTTTTGAGATTTTAGCTAGGAAATTGCTCTGCTGACATCAGCAGAGGGATTCCCTTAGGTTATGGGTAGGGTCAGAGGTTGGATTAGGGGTAGTGTTAGGGTTAGTGCTAACATAGAGTTATTGTTTGAGATTGGGTTAATGCTTGTTAGGATTAATGATGTTTTAAATTTGGTGATAGTGTAGGGTTAAAATTAGGGTGTATGGTTAGTTTATATGTACAGTTAGAGTTAGTGTAAGCATAAGGCTAGGGGTAGGGTTCGTGTACAGTTGAAGGGAGTTAGTATATACCATTTAATCCTAGAAATATGAGGAATTTAACTTGATGTGTAAAAATTTGAATAATAAAAAAAAAAACTTTAACATTTTATTTACATTTAATGCAGTGCTTGGCATACACATTATGCCTTTCTGTCCTTTAAAAAAACAAAATGTACTCTCCCTCGAACCCTTAGCACATATAATCAGAAATCACGCTCAGATCAGGGGTGTATGGGTGGGAACTGAAGAATTTAAATTGGCTATGTTCGCTGATGACATTTTCATAACCCTGGCAGATCCTGGCGACTCCCTGTCCTGGCTTCTGGGTGTTCTCGAGGAATATAGTAGGATCTCTTATTATAAACTCAACCAATTAAAGACCCAGGCCCTACCAATTAGGCTGCAGACAAGGACGGTGCAATCACTGAAGCACAAACACAAATTCGATTGGAGAACTACCCACATAACGTATCTGGGAGTGAAAATAGCACCCACACTTAGAGGAATTAGCACACTCAACTTCTCTTCACTCCCACAACTATGTCGGCAATCACTGCAAAAATGGAAAGATGTGTGGTTATCCTGGCTTGGAAAGATTAATGCTGTAAAAATGGTGATCCTCCCCAAACTTTTATATGTATTTAGGATGCTCCCTCTTCCCTTGTCCGCCTCAATAGGCAAACAACTACAACGTCTTATAAACAACTATATTTGGGAAAATAAGAGACCATGCCTCCCGAGCGTACTTCTACAAATTCCAGTAAACAGAGGGGGGACAGGTCTCCCTAACATTGCGCTTTATCACAAAGCTGCAATACTGGAAGCGGCAATCAAATTGCATGCCCCCGCAAATACTTTCCAATGGGTGGACATGGAGAATAATTATTTTCCACGTTCCTCAGTGGTAGACATTCTGTGGACACCCAAACATCTCAGGGATAAAAACACCTCAATGCTCCTTACATCTAGAATCACACTCCAAATGTGGGACCATCTCCATAAACGACATGCGAACATTACGAAATTTTCCCCATGGGCTACGATAACAACGCTCCATTCAATCTCCCCATGGTTATCTTTACATAAATGGAAAGACAAGGGCATCACACACATCACTGATATATATCAACATGGGACCATTTTACCCTTCCCCGATATTCAACTCAAATATGCCTTACCGTCCAACTACATATTCCCATACCTCCAACTCAAAAGCACAATTAAAGAAAGGGTACACACCCCGACCCAACATGCTCCCGCCCCTAACCTTGACCTTATAGCTATATATAATAGGTGCCGGAATGCGCCAATCAAAGCCAAAGCTTTATCCCTTGAATATGCCGCCTTAGGGCAACATCCCCCTATGACGAATTTCGCTTTTACGATTCAATGGCATAAAGAAGGGCACCCACAGCTCACTACTGAGCAGTGGCTACAGTCACTTGGGGCACTCAAGGGCGTGACTTCTTGCTACTCCCACATAGAGGCACATAAGAAACTTGTGTATCGGTGGTACCTCACACCTCACAAACTACATAAAATTTATCCGGCAACACCGAACACATGCTGGCAATGCTCTAATGATATAGGGACAATGAGGCATGTCTGGATGGGACACCCATCATTAGTCTGTTCCTATTGTTGCCTGCTCAAATTCTTGCACAGGACAAGCAACTACTGATTATACTAATACTTGCTGCGCGCAATCTTATTGCGTGCCCCTGGAAACAACAGACTTGCCCGACGCCACAACAATTACTCCACAAAACACAACAGTATCTGCGACATGAAATGCTGATTACTTCGACACCCAGTCGTAGAGATATCACACACAATAACTGGCAAAGATGGAGCAAATACATAACTCACAGTCAGCACCCAGGGTAACTTGCCATGCACACATAGGCTACCCTACGCACCGGGACGGCTTTAAACACGAACACGACACAAGACGCACGACCGACTAAGACAGGCTGGATACACATTTGTATGTATTAACGAAGGCACAAGGTGTAATGTTTGTAACAGACTGTTCGTAACTGAATACTGGTAACTACTACATTGTAACTATCTAATCAATACCCGTGGATGCCCCCCCCCCCTTTTCTTCCTTTCTGTACCCCCCCACATGGTTGTTTTGAAAACTCAATAAAATACGAATTTAAAAAAAAAAAAAAAAATTTAATTTTTAGGTTTTCTTTTGGGTTAGATCTTTGAGATATTTGCCCTGTCTTTAAAGGTTTAATTCAGCAAACTTTCGTCATAAAATGCACAAATATTTATTTGATGTTGTACAATGATACACCCTTTGTTGTTCAGTGGATAACTAGTTTTACTATTATTTTTATTCATATATCAAAATTGTAACATTGTTATTGCATAGAAATGTTTCTTTTTATTATGATACAGTGGAAATTGTACGTTACTTAGTCCATGTCATTTATTCCATGATATAACAATGTAAGAAGAAAATCTAATTCTTGGTTTTATTTAAAATTTAATTTGTGTAGTTATATGAAACTATGACAACACATTGTGTGTTCTGTGTTAGCTCTCTTCAAGTTCAATGATAATCACAAATATAATGCATACATAAAGTGTTTGGAAATGTATCATTGTTTAGTGTTGTGCTGCCATCTTGTGCTAGTTTATGGTAATAACTTGAAGTAGAGGTTTACTTAATATAAAAATAATTGTGTTGAAAATAAAAACCCCAACACATTTTAAGAAAGTTATTGTAACATTGTAAAAGTGTAACATTTCTCCAGCTTATTGACCAAGCTAACCCTGGCACGGATAAAGTAAGGAGTCAAAAAAACAAAAAAGAAACAAAATCAAAAATCAGAAAGAATGCATCGGCATTCTATAATGCTCGACGCGCGTTTCGGCGTGTAAGAACGCCTTTATTAAGGGTTAGCTTGGTCAGTTTGGGGATTTAGCGAGAGGGATATCCTTTAGGCTGCCTTGAAGCAGCAGGTAGTGCACCTAGTCACCCTGTTGTATGGGAGACAGTCTAGTAAGTTCAGGGATATCTAGGTTGTGGACAGGGCAGTGTCTGGTGGGTTGTGGTTATATGGTAACATCCACATGGATGCCTTTCTATTTCGGGGCATATATGTACATTGATATCTTCCTAACTAACCACCTGGCTCAATGGTCCATTTATACACCTATGTACTAGCCTGCATTAGCAACTACTCTGCTCCCTCCAGGGGCACTATCACTACCGAGGCTCCCTCTATATCGCTATCTATAATAACCCCACTGTACCTATTTTAGACCTCTGGCAGGACTGCTTAACCCAGACGGACATTATATCTGTAATTTTCTAGGGAACCATTTTGGTCCCCAGTACCCAGTACTTTTCAGTGGTGTCCGTTCTAGCTTACATTTGTGAGTCTATATCTCACTTATTTATACTCGTTGCAAAGGGGGAATCCCCGCCTGGCCATTTTTAGAGCCAGTTAGATTTTATCACCACTGGTGTGTTTTCTGTTTTATTAAAGGTACTTATACCCATGTTCCTTTTCTCTTCTCCTCCTGTGTATCCTCCTCCTTACTATAAGTACTATTACTCTAGGGATATAGTTTAGTGAATGAACCGTTTCCCACCCTGCACACCTGTATGTTTGGTGGCCTTCTGGTTCATTCTCTCCCCTTCTCTTTTCTTACATTACATTTGGGGTTAAGCCCCCCCCTATATCCCTTGTAACCTTTACAGAGTTAGGGGAGTTGGTTGTCCCCAACACCCCTCTCTTTCTGTTTCCTCTTGTTACATGTACTGTAACATTGTCATCTCATAGTAGTATTATTTGAAAATCTGAAAGGGTTTGTGATATTATCATTTTGTTGGTCCATACACAGCACTCCATTGTGAGTCATGGATTGACCAACCTATTACAATCTAATGTGTACCAAAAAAGAGGGATATTTAACATAACACAGTCCAGTTTTAAGCTGTCCAACAGCATTTTCCATACATTTTGGGTAGTTCAGAGCCATAAATATAATATCAGAACATTGATAAAGTTTGCACTCTGTGCCTGGATTTTGCAGTCCAAATGCTTGTACGCAACCGGTTGGTTTATCCCCATTTGATATGGGAGTCGGCATATAGACTTTAGTGAGTAACCTTGTATGAGTCATGTATCATATTTTAAATGCAATATGGGTGTTTGTGGTAAAACAATTCACTTTAAAGCATTGTGGTTATAAAACACCTTTGGGAAAAAGTAGGAAAAAAAACTCAACTAACACAATAGACGAATACATCAACCAGCATTTACAGGGAATGCAGTAAGGGTAAAGAATTTATCTTCTGCAGTTGATGCTGCTTATTACAGGCAATGAGCAGCCTCTAGGTACAATTTCCTGAGCAGTCACAGAGACTAAATTAATGTTCCCTGCTTTATCACTTCTGGCATTATTTTCAGCACATTCTAATGTCTGTATCGTAACATCCTATCGGAAGTCACTAAATAGTTTATTTCACTAGCAGATGCACAATATATTTAAAAATAAATGTAACAAAATGACTGCAATAAATCACTTAAATATGTTTAGAAGTGTGTATATTGATGTCAACAACTTATTTATATGTATTAAAGAGACCAACAACTGTGATAGAATGATAATGGTCAGTTGTGGAAATAATGTACAGAAGGCCCTAGTGCAAAAGAAAATGTTTACCTCTCCACAGATCAGGGATGGCCAAAATGCAGATCTCACGTGTTGTACAACTATGATGAGATCTACTATTTGTCCAACCTTGCATGGTTGTAATTGTCTGCATTACATGTATGTGAATGTAGGTATGTTTTTCTATGGAATGTGTGTATGTGAATGTTTGTGTATTTGTGTATATAGCTAATGTCAGAATACAGGGTGTATTTGTGGGAAGTATTGGTGTTTGAATGTGTGTAGCATCCAAGTGTTGGTGCTTGAATGTGTGTAGCATTGGTGTTTGTAGGCAAGACTGTTTTAAACAGTTACAGTTACATTCACTTGTTTTAAACAGTTGCAAATGTAAACAAGCACACAATTAGATTTAAAGCTAATTGAATTTACCAGGGCAAAACATATTAACCCCATAAGGACAGCTGATGGTTCAGGACCATCACCGGAAACATCCTCTTAAGGACTGATGACGGTCCTGAACTGTCATAACGGTAATATTTACTTCCCCAATCGTCAACGTTCCCCCGCTGCTGATCGGTGTTGCTCCTGGTCTGGGGTGACTGCCTGACATCCAAGACAGTCCCCCCTCGGCGTATTAGGCCCCCGCGGCCGTGTGATTGCTCTAACAGAGAGGTCACATGGCCGCAATGGGTGTCCATGAATCGGCCTGCAGGAAGACGCCTGAACTGGCAGGCAGTCTCCCTGCATCTGTAAAATAAAAAATAAAAAATTGTTAATAAATATATATATATATATATATATATACACAAATATATAATAATATTTTTTAAGATATATAGACATACAGGGCCAGAGCTACCGTAAGGCAGCCCAGACGGCCACCTAAGGGTGCACGGGTCCAGAGGGCGCGATCTCCGGTGACCAGAAGGAGGAGGCCGCCATTTGCATTGCTCCCCTCCTGTCTGTCACTGCGTGGTGCGTGGCTGAGCGGGCGGAACGCTACTTACCCGGTCTGACAGGAAATGCAACGAACTGCTTCCTGTCAGATTAGAACAGGAAACCGGATTATTCGCCGCGGACCTCCAGCTCAGACACATGGATGGAGGTGTAGAGGGCTCAGTGAAAGGTACAAGGGGATAGGTACAGTTGGGAGGGGGGGCAATAAAAGATACAGAAGGGAGAACAATAGTAAAAGGTACAAGAGGGGAGGGGGACAATAAAAGTTACAGGACAGGACGGGGGAGGCAATAAAAGGTATAGGAGGGGAGAGGAAGGAGACAATAAAAGGTACAGGAATGGGGGGCAATAAAAGAGACATGAGAGGAGGAAGGACATTAAAAGGTACAGGAGGGTAAGGGGACAATAAAAGGTACAGGAAGGGGGGGCTATGAAAAGTTCAAGAGGGAAGACAATAAAATGTACAGGAGGGGGAACAATAATAAAAGGTAGACTAGGGGAGTGGGGGACAATAAAAGATACAGGGGACAACGATAAAAGGTACAAGAGGGGAGGGTGACAATAAAAGATACAGGACAGTAGGGGGGAAGGGTTTAGGAGGGTAGGGGTACAATTAAAGGTACAGGATGAGCAGACAAGAAAAGGGACAGGTAGGGAGGGGGGACTATGAAAGGTTCAGGAGTGGAGACAGTAAAAGGAACATTGGGGGGACAATGAAAGGTACAGAAGAGGAAGGGGGGATAATAAATGGGACGGGAGGGAGACATTAAAAGGTATGGAGGGGCATTGAAAGACACAGGAGGGAAAGGTCAACTATGAAAGGTTCAGGAGGGGAGGAGGTGAGACAATAAAAGGTACAGGGGGGACAATAAAAGGTACAGGAGGGGGGGCAATAAAAGGTACGGGAGAATATTAAAAGACACAGGAGGGCTGGGGGGCACAATGAAACATACAGGGGGGACAAACACAAAGGGGCTGGGGGGAGAAATAGTCACACAGAAGGGTGAG